CCATTCCAAAAAGGTGTTGATTGTTCATGTCTTTTCCTTTTTCACAAGTGTTAGGCACTTGCAAAATATTTGCTTTTTGGTTGAGCCATCCTTTTCCCAATCCAAATTACCACTCCTCTACACGATCGTCGTAAACAGCAGGTCTTGGTCTCATAGACTTTTCGCTACTTCAGTAGAGTAGTACCTAGAGGTGCTGACTGAGCAGTGGCTTCTAACGGCTTCTACCGTTTAAGAAAGACATAGTCGTGTTCATGAAAGCAACAACGATGTCGTTACGGAAGCTCGATTTGTACCTGGCAAAATTGGATTGTTGCCGTTTCCTATAGCCTTCTCCTGACTGACCTTTCTCGAAACGTATGTACAACTTTGGTGGGTACACAACCAAATAAGGTAACGGAGAACCCTGGTCTCTGGAGAGATGATCCAGTTTTCACGTCAAGTCGCTTCACTAATTTTATCTAAAAGGACAGAGGTGGTGTAGTGCTAAGTTGCACAGTATTATTCGCATGTTGCGGGTATCGGATCCCGAATCGATCTCACCTACGCCAATCAAGTCTATTGTCTGTCAGGAGTAATGATCTGTACCAGACAAACCTGATGTTCTGAAAAAAGGACTGAGTCTGGCTTCACTTGAGAACCTGGGAAGCCGCAAGGCTATCACCATCGTATGTGTTTTTGTATGTCGGCATGAAATATAGGAGTGTCACATTGACGGAGCCCTTTTTCCGTTGATCCTCGTAATCGTGTTTTTCCGGTGGGTGACGAAGTGTTTGGTTGACGTCAGATGACGTTTCTGATGGCTTGGATTTTGCGGCATGGAACGGAAATCCATAGGCAAGAACGTCCGTCTCTGTTGTCTGAGAATTTGGCTGTTGACATCATCATGTTTTGGGCATCATGTTGATTCGGTAATAGATGTTGACGGCAGGTTTGCACTAATTGCTGGTCGAAGATTGAATTTTTTATTCTGACCTGACACAATTTGACACATATAGGTATGCTGTGTGAGTGAAGCGAGGAAGAGGTGTGTATTCTCAGAATAAGAAGAATACTGAGATAAAAAGATTGATAGGAAGAGGATTAGGAAATCACATGTACAAGGGGGATCATTTGTTTGACTCCTTCAAACGGCGCGTTTATAGTTCAGTAGAAGAACAAGTTCGATTCTTTGTTGTGACGTTTGGTGATTAACCGAGAATGTGAGGTTCTTTTACAATAATCGAATCACATTAGTAAAAAATTCCTTCAATTCTCCATAGCAGGTAAGCAGAAAATCAGGTTTTGGTGACAATCACACCGCAGTTCATATTTAGACTTCGACGTGAGTGACGAGAAATTTATGGGTTGTGACTCGATCAATATGCTTGCTTTATATCGGATCGCCTCTGGTCTGGAAATTAAGACCTGTATAGGAGACTAATAATTGCAACGATTTCGATTACATACTAGCAAAAGCTGAAATCAGTGCTATGGGCGAGAGTGCTATTTGTTTCGCGTGAAAGTGATGGCATTTTTTGGCAGATTTCCAATTTAAGTAGAGTTCTTGATAAGAAATTTGAGGATAGAAATCAAACAAGAATAGTTAATGATCGTCATCGTTATTATGATGACCAGTAAGTTCGCCACGTGATCCGGTTGCTCGTCGTTTCATTCGCCAATACTGCAGCCTTGTCCAAAGCTCTCTCATCGCCAAATAAATCATAGCGATATTTTTGACGGCAAATAGACTTGGATCATAATGTCTGCCTCGTTGTTGGACTTCAAGCAGGATATAGAGATAGATTCGGAGTCCGAGGAATGGTCCATTTACCTGAGAAGGGATTAGGTTAAGTCTGTAATTGGTAAGGTAGGGTAATGGGTACATGGTGGTACTGCATTTATGGAGATAGAATTCTCATATTACAGCCCTACTCTCCAGAAAAGAGTAGGCTAACACCTAGCTCGATCATTCTACGATAAACGACGGGCTGAGATAGACCAGCTCTGCACCTTTATTTGCATAATTGCAGTATCTCCGTGCTATCCATTGTCTTTGAAAAAAAGAAAATGCTTACGATAAGTACGTAGAGTAGACTCCAGACTTTGTCGCTGATATACAGTAATCGTGGGAATCGCCCAAAGCGAAGTTTCAACAGGGCAAATGTAGGCATAACGAAGTTCACACATGCAACTGTCAGTATGGTGATGTCGAGCCACATAGGCAGATTCCATCCGTCTTTCTGAAATCATGAGCTCTGATTAAACTTAATGCTAACATGAAGAATACCCGGCTTATTAATTGATCGGTTCTTTGTAGGTTTTAGCGGGATCTTAATGCCGTGATATTAATGTTCTTAGGTATGCTTCATCTGTGCCTTTCATCCCTCTGCTGGTTTCATGCCGCTTAAGCTTCCCTTTTTAATTTTCTTATTCATTTCCATTCCTATCCCTCGAAGCTCCCTGCTTCCTTCCCTTCCGATGTTTGCTGCCTTGACAACCTTCTTATGTTTGTTTTTCTCATCGCGTATACTCATTCTTCACACATCATATCCTCTAGCACTTTATCCTTACTCCTCAACCGCTTATGAATGTCGGGGTCCCCTTCCTAGAGGTTACGGATTTCCTTTTGCTATAGTTCGAGCGTGATTTTTGTAAGTAATATCGATTGGTGATGATAAATAGTGTTTGATTCACGTGATTAAGTTTTTTATCAAACGATAGATGTAAGTATGAGCATCTCTTATATGAATAATCCTGCTAGTCGTCTAATCCCAACATTAGAGGGTATGTCGTTTCTGGATTTGATGATGATGGAAATGCTACTGGACTGAGGGGAACTGAGGGAGACCTTCGCAGAGGTTTTCCCTCTTTTAGAGCAGAACTTGTAGATGATTGATGTTCGCATGCCCATATTATTCTCTAACCATTTCGCATAGATTGGTTTCAATCTCAGGGCCCTACTCTAAGCAAACAATCGATAGAAAAGTTTTGGAAAAATGGTTGATAAATCGGGATAGAAAAAANCATCATATCCTCTAGCACTTTATCCTTACTCCTCAACCGCTTATGAATGTCGGGGTCCTTTTCCTAGAGGTTACGGATTTCCTCTTGCTATAGTTCGAGCGTGATTTTTATAAGTAATATCGATTGGTGATGATAAATAGTGTTTGATTCACGTGATTAAGTTTTTTATCAAACGATAGATGTAAGTATGAGCATCTCTTATATGAATAATCCTGCTAGTCGTCTAATCCCAACATTAGAGGGTATGTCGTTTCTAGATTTGATGATGATGGAAATGGTACTGGACTGAGGGGAACTGAGGGAGACCTTCGCAGAGGTTTTCCCTCTTTTAGAGCAGAACTTGTAGATGATTGATGTTCGCATGCCCATATTATTCTCTAACCATTTCGCATAGATTGGTTTCAATCTCAGGGCCCTACTCTAAGCAAACAATCGATAGAAAAGTTTTGGAAAAATGGTTGATAAATCGGGATAGAAAAAACTCACGAGAGACTGCCAGAGTAGGTCGAGGAAGTAAATGTTGTCAACGAGATCGAGACAGATTGCAGTGGCCAGGTAGGTAATATACAGTTGGCGAGCGCTCATCAATGGTGTGTAGTGATGAGCTTCGAGGAGGAACAAGAAAATCAGCACCGACAGTGAAAGCCCAAGTTTGAATAGATGATCATCGAAAAGCTTATCATTGTTGTCCAGTGGTCCTGGTGGTAGCTGAAAATAGCGGTTGTATCAGAAAATCTGATCATGAACTTCGAAAGCGATACCAGCGCAGTTTGGCTGTGTACTGAACGCTCAGTAGCTAAATATTTCTCTTACTTCCGTGTAGAATAGGCGGAAACAGGTGGCGACCTTTCCGACCAGTACCAACGAGTAGACAAGCCATCCGATCCAGGCAAATTTCACTTTTCCATCTGCAAAGCGGCAGAGTTTGAGTAAATAATCGAGAGTAAAATCAAATCGTAGGTGGCTACTGAAGTGGTCTGGATAGGCGACTCACCGACAGAACAGACTTCCTCCATTTGAGTTTGATTGTACTTAAGAGCTAGTACAAGCAGCCACAACATGACAACGATGACAAGCGCATCGGCGCCAATCCACGAATACCATATTCTATCCGATAGTACAGTAAGGTAGTAGTAATCTATCAAGCCTAATTGAATAATGATAAGTGCGAGACAGATGATGAATGAGAATATGTCCAGACATCCTCGGAGGCAGCGTCCTGAAAGGTATCAGTTTATTAGCTTGAAAGCCATGATTGGAAGCTCAACGGTTGGAAGCTCTTTCTTACCGGGAATTACGGCCATAGTGTGGTATCTTGTGGGCGGCGCGAGAACTAAGGCCGTCTGGTCGCCCGGAGCACAGTTAGTGTCCGTCTTTAAGGGAAAGTCTTCACCACCGTCGTAATAGGAAGCGTGTGGATTGAATTCGTCAGCGTTTTCCTCGACAACGTCCTCGATAACGTGTCGGGGATCTCGTCCAATTGTCGTATTTGCGTACACCGCTTCTAAAACATTGTATAGATGACCAAAAGAAAAGCCAGTTTTTAGAAGGAAAGCGACTATAATTAAATCATGATGCTAGTGTTGGGGTGCGGAAGTTGTCCGGAATGACAATGAGAAGTTTGTCATGCGCAAAAGCGCCGGGCGAAAGAAGTTCGGAGAATCGGAGAGAATTTGCGTGCTGTTGCCCCTCTCTTGCATGAGCATTTCTTTGAGAACCAACGTCGAAGCATTCGCAAATTTGAAAGTTGGGGTAATCGGATTATGGCCGAGCCGCCCTCACCGCGACGCAGAGCGACGAGTGTTTTGTGCTATCCGTTAAGGATTATCTTGTAGAGAGGCGTTTGCGTGCGGCACGGAAGAATGTGAGAAGGTATTGCGTTGTCGACGATGGCATGACATTGTTTACTGCGCTGCTCGCAGTCATAGCCAGGGGACGATGAGGTGTGGCATTACCCCTTGTGTGGTGAGTGTTTTCATCGTCTTCTCCAGACCTTTGCGCAGTGACGAACATTTCTCACAAAAAATGGACAATTTTCCAAGAAATCTCCAAGAGGCAACTATAAAATCTCTTAAAAACGTAGACAGATGCACTTCGAGAGTGCATTCCGATTGTGGTGCAAAAAATCGACGGCGCCAATTGACTAGCAGGTTTTTTATGCCGAAAACGGAAATGAGTATCAGCAGAGGGTGAGAGGTGCGCTCTGAATGTGGACGTGGGATGTACGAACGAACACACACGCGCAGAATGTTGAGAGGTTCTGAAGTCCCGTTCACTCGCGCTCAATTATTTGAGAGTCGGCATGTAAACAAGCAGCTGACCGAAAGGGCCGTGTCTAGGAGAGCACGGAAGAAAAGCGCCTACGGAGTGAGTATGTGTGCAAGAGCTATGTCCTAGCGCGCTCAATGTGAGTAGATTTACTGTTTGCCTGGTCGGGCTCTCACCTGGTGAGCGCGTGGAACTGATGGAAGTGGGTGGTGTGTTCAACCCGAAACATTTTGTCAACTATCCGTGAGAGACCGGCCCAAATAGCGCCGGGCCGGAGTCGCGTGCTTAGTTAATTACGCGAAAAAAAAAACGAGGTGAATTGGCTCATTCGAACAGCAATTACTCGCTCACTGCAACGAGGAGAAAAAAGTGGGCAAATGAGTTTGGCAGCAGGCGCTCCATCAACCAGTTAAGTCAGCAACAGCGATGCCATTCAGCCTAGCCCCAGACCAGAGCAATCTGTGCTTGTTGTGAGCTAACCAGACTGCCACCAGAGGTATCGCAACTGTGACAAACGGGGAACGAATGCCCCCACTCCTGGTAAACAACCTTGTTTACATTTACATTCAGTTGCGCAACACATGTGTATTGTCTGAGGATGAATTAATTACATTGCTATTGAGGAAGTTTTATTGATTCTGGAGAAGAAAACACTTTTCTGTATAATGTTTGGGAAAGGTGTGCCACACCGGTGAAGGGGTATTGGAGAAGAGTCAATTGGGTGAATCAAACAGAACGGCCTAACAAGAAAGCTTTTTTAAAAATCGAATTATGGCAACCTAGCCATTTAAGGAGTTTTTCAGGGAATCTCTGACGAAAGTTACTCCTAGATGGGGAATATTCCACATGTGGTATTACTTAGATCGATACAAGTCCTTACAATATGTAGACTAAGTTATATTCTAGCACTGCTTACAGCAGGAAATGGGAGGAAAGGATATGAAATACCTGCAGGAGTGTTCATATTTCTGTTCTCCGAATAGGATTACATGTTGAAGGG